GTGCTATCAGGTGATTCCAGCTTTTCTCACTCTATGCATGGCCACAAATGACCACAAAAGCATCTTACATATTGATTTGGGGATTACAAATAAATTTTACCTAGTAGGCACATTCCAATTGCAAAATTTGCAAATAATGAGGACTGAGTATTTAACTTGAGCTGCCCACGGGGTCTCCAAAAAGCAATCGAATATACCAGTCTGGAGGCAGGAGATGTAAGTCAGATGGGTAACACCTCTGCCCAAAGCCCAGCAATGCTTCCCTGTCACTATGAGCAACAGCCAAAGTCCTTGTCACAGCTCATAGGACCCTAACATAATCTACTCACCCCACATTTCCATTTGATCTTATTTCCTACTTTTCCTCCTCAGAATTACTCTGTTCTAACCACACGCTTCCTTGTCATGTCCTTGAACATGTCAAGAATACAACTCAAGGAATTTGCACTGTAGTTCCCTCCACGTGGATGTTCTCGCCACATGGAACTGCACAGTTTACCCCCTTGGCTCCTTCAGAGTACTCAACTGCCGTCTTCTCGATGAGGTCTACCCAGACCGCCCTATCTACACTTGCAATATCCCCCTGCCCGAGATGTATGCAGTCCTTCCAATACTGCCCATCCTGCTTTGCATTACCATTTTTCTTATAATGTACTACATAATTTTCTTATTTTGATTATTGCATATTGTCTTCCCCCATTCCCACCCAGCTACCAGACTGCAAGCCCTATGAAAGCAGCAATCTTAGTATGATCTGTTCAGTGTTACATCCCCAGAACCTAGAATAGTGGTGGGCACATTCCAGGTTCTCAGAAATACTTGTTAAATGAATGAATAAGTGAATGGAGGAATTATGAATTGGGCATATAGACCCACACTTAATCTACACATAAATACAGGCAAGACCACTCACAGTGAGTAAACTGAGACGGTGGCTGAGGACAGAACCCCTGGGAATGCCATGCAAAAAATGAAGCAGGGACAGTGAGCCAAGAAAGGAAGCAGCATGGAGAAAGGGACCAAGTGTGAGGTTCAAAGCCAAGGGAATGGGGATTTTCAAGGAGGGAGACTTGAACAGTGTAAAATATCACAAACAGGCCGAGCGCAGTGGCTCAAGCCTGTAATCCCAGCACTTTGGGAGGCTGAGGTAGGTGAATCACCTGAGGGCAAGAGCTCAAGACCAGCGTGGCCAACATGGCGAAACCCCATCTCTACTAAAAATACAAAATGAGCTGGGTATGGTGGCGCATACCTGTAGTCCCAGCTACTTGAGAGGCTGAGGCAGGAGAATCGCTTGAACCCAGGAGGCAGAAGTTGCAGTGAGCCAAGATCGCACCATTGCACTCCACTCTGGGCAACAAGACCGAAACTCCACCTCAAAAAAAAAAAAAAGAAAAGAAAAGAAAATCCACAAACAAGTAATTGAGTTGAGAAAGGAAATCTGTTATCCATTTATGTAAAAAACAAATTGCTACACATCTTCTATGTGCCAGGCATTGCAGGCACCAGGACAAGCAATGCAAAGATCAGGACTCTAATGATAACATCAATGCTCCACCCAGGACCCCGGGGTTCACTTTCTGCCATTTTTGCACACCACCCACCTTCGGTATACCTCAGCAGTAAGGACACCCCTCCAGCTACTCAGAAGCTTGTCCATACACACTCACACATAGAAGAGCTGGAATCCTAGGAATTTACTTCCCCCAGGGCAGCCCTTGACCAGTAACCATAGGTATTGGGATACTACAGTCCATCTCCCTAGCCTTCCATGGGCAATTCCAAGGTGTAACTTATATTCCAAAGCTTCCCTTCAGGGTCAGGCTGTAGCTACTGCCCCCAGGATGTTGCCTGAGGATGCCCTCTTGCTGGGTTTCCTCCCTTCCACTGTCCTGCACCTCTACTCCTTACCAGGCTCCACAGGAGCCCTTCCTTAATATATCACTTATGCATGAATCCTAATGTTAGTCCCTGCCTCTGAGGCCTTCAGGTGTCCAGTCTCTAGAAAGGGAGATGGTCAAGAGAAGAGAAAAACACAGTGGGAAAGAATGTGGAAAACACATGGTGCTGGAAGGGAACATGGGAAGGACCCAAGATCAAGACTCCCCAGACTCAAGAGGGCTTCCAGGAGACAAGGGAGGCTGTGCTGAGGCAGGACAGATGAATAGGAATCAGTCCAGCAAAGGCAGAGGGCATTTGTGACAGAGAAGGCAATCAGCGTAAAGATCCTGAGAAGAGCAACAGCCGAGCTTAGGGAAATTGCAAACAGATCAGTATGGCTGGAGGGCAGGACACCAGAAGGGCTGGGCAAGCCATAAGACCACAGGTGGGCACTGGCTACTTCAAATGGCTTTGTAAGCCAGGCTGGGGGATTTGGAGCATCCTGACAGCCTCGAAGTGCCTTTGAGCATCCCTTTGGAAGCAGTAAAAAGAATGGATTAATGCGGGGCAACATAGGAGACAAGAGGACCCATTAGAAAGCTGTTGAAGTAATTCAGCCATGAGACGACAGTGGCCTGAAATAAAGTAGCAGAAGTGGGGCCAGAGAGAGGAAAAGGATTATAACTGAGAGATCAGTTGTGATATCAGGAGGGCAAGGCCAGTGAACTGGGCAAGGCAGAAGGCAGACAGAGTAGGTGGGCAAGTTATGTGCAGTAAAGAGGTGGAGATGATGAATAGAGATTATTTTTGAGCAGCTTAACCATAGGAAGAGGGAAATAATTCAGTGTCAAAAAAGGGTTTTGCAGGGGCTGAAGGGGACAGGCTTTAAGATGAAAGAGAACTGGAACTCATTTATAGAGTTACAAGGAAAGTGAGATCCACCCTTCAAAGTTTCTGCCCATTTCTCTCTCTGCCTTTCTCCCTTTTACTTTTTACTTAGATGAAGACTTGCTGTTATGTTATCCTTAAGATGGGCACAATAAATTCCAGCAGCAAGAAGATACCAGGACATAAACTATATACTTCAAAAGTTCAGACTTAATTCCTGTTCATATATTGCATTGGATAAAATTTGCTTTTTCCAGTCCAGCCCTGGTAAAAAGGCCACAATGGCACAAGCAATCCTGTTACAGCTGCAGAACAGAAGGTGGGAGGAAAAATTCAATTAGAACCATGCCTTCCTCAGCCCAAAAATGGGTTTGATATTTGCAGAGGGTTCCCAGGCAACAACCCCTGCCATTCCAGACCCTACAAATTGGGAACGCTTTTTGTTGCAGGCTGAGAAAGCACCACACAAAAGGTCCCAGGCAGCACAGTTTTTTCATGTTTGAAGGGTCGACAGCCCAGCCCCATCTGCCTCCTGAAGCATATTCCCCTCTTTTCTTTACCTTCCCACAGATGACACTTCGGACAGCTCTTTTCAGGTAAGTCCAAGAGAAAAAGTAAATGCTAGGCCTGGTGAAGTAATTTCTCACTCAGGTTTTGCAAAATCCAGAGAGGCTACAGGTTTCCCCAAATATACTACAAAAATCTTTGACTGAGTCTCAAAAGGGGGGACTGTTGACAGTGTGAAGGGAAGTGTTTTCCAAGATAATTCACCTGGACATTTGCCTAGAAGTTTTGCAATTTACAAAATATTTCACACACATAATTTTATTGGATCCTCACAATAATACTGTATTTTTCTTATTCTATAGATGAGAAAACAGAGACTCAGGTCTTATCCTTGGACATGTGGTCCATTCGTTGCTCTTTCCACCATTCCACACTGCTTCTAAAAAAAACAAAAAAACAAACAAACAAAAAAAAACAGGATGGCATCTGTTGGGCGGGTCTGCGGGGCTTGTGACGCCGCCCCGCGGAACTTTGTGACGCAGCCGCTTGCCGAGACAGGAAGCCGTCGCAGCGCGCCAGGCCCGCCCTCTTCCGCGGCCGCCGTGGGAATGGAAACATCTGCCCCACGTGCAGGAAGCCAGGTGGCAACATCTACCCCACGTGCAGGAAGCCAAGTGGTGGTCACAACAGCGTGCCACTCCGTGGCATACCGCGCAGATCCCCTGCGTGTGTCCCTGTGAGACTAGCTCACCAAAATGGCCGCGTCCAGTGAAGGAAACTTTGAGGGAGATATTGAGTCAGTGGACCTTGCAGAATTTGCTAAGCAGCAGCCATGGTGGCGTAAGCTGTTCGGGCCAGAATGTGGACTTTCAGCCGAGAAGTATAGCGTGGCAACCCAGCTGTTCATTGGAGGTGTCACTGGATGGTGCACGGGTTTCATATTCCAGAAGGTTGGAAAGTTGGCTGCAACAGCTGTGGGAGGTGGATTTTTTCTCCTTCAACTTGCAAACCATTCTGGGTACATCAAAGTTGATTGGCAACGAGTGGAGAAGGACATGAAGAAAGCCAAAGAGCAGCTGAAGATCCGTAAGAGCAATCAGATACCTACCGAGGTCAGGAGCAAAGCTGAGGAGGTGGTGTCATTTGTGAAGAAGAATCTTCTAGTGACTGGGGGATTTTTCGGGGGCTTTCTGCTTGGCATGGCATCCTGAGGAAGATAACCTCATTTTCATTGTTCCTGGTTTTTTCCAGCCAGCAGCCTCTATACTCCATTATAGGACACTGAGTCCCTCCTCCTCTTCTCCCATGCCTTCCTCCCTGCTGTGGCAAATCCAAGTGGCTTCTATAAGCATCTGTTGGTACAAGTTAATGTGGCACCATAAGCTTGATGGTTGCAGAAGAGACAATAGTCCTTAGCTCTCCTTCCAGTACACCCCCTACTTGGTCAGTCTGTAGGTCAGCAAGAAGGTTCTTCTACCTCCATGCAAGACACTTAGGAGAACACATTGCAAGATGGCTGACTGTGGAGGATGAGTGGATCCTGAAAGGTTGTCCCGAACTGTTGATTTGAAAAAGAAATAAGCACATGGATTACCTTATTATGTGCTGCATGGAAAGGAACTGAATACAATTGCCTTTAAGCATTAAAAAAAAAAAATGAAAAATTGGGGTGTCACACTTGCAAAATGGATGGACAAATGTGGTCAGGGCAGATCAAGGTAAGGGATGATCTGAAGCAAAACTGTGAAGGATAACCTTGGGTGACCCTTACATATTTTTTACCCTTACCCCAGGTGCCCCCTGTTTCCAAACCCCTAATGCCCAGGGCCCTCATTCTCTACCCTTTTGCTAAACAAGGCAACACTTCTCTGTTGCCCACATGAGCAGAACCTCATACTTTGGCTTCCCTGACCCCTTCTACCCCTTCAAAACATACCTATCCCTACCTGTGTTCTTCTCCCTCAATTTCTCTCTGGGCAACTGATCTACTTTAACCTGATCATTTGACTTCCTAGGAAGTACCTTCCACTCTGAGAGTCAGGATGCTCTGCATGTGTGCTAAGGCATCAAATGAAGATTGAAAGTCACTCCTGTGTTACCCCTCCCTGGCAACCCTGCTACTTTGACAGGGGTTCTGTTGACTCAACCTGAATTCCACAGTGTTGTGAGAGTTTCAGGCACTGCTGCAGTGAATAGGTATAGATATTACTGGGTAGGGACTCCCTCAATTGGAGCACCACAGTCTATCCATCAAAAATTTCTCAACCATGGCCCTGGGATTGATTGACCAAAGCCCATTAGAGGACTGCAGGGATCTGCCAGAAGGTGGGACATGAGATATGAATACATTCCTTAAGGTTCTGTGGCCCTGAGAACTCAGCCCCAGAAGATGATCTGTGCAGGAGGTTTTGAGCCTAACCAGGGTACCAGAGAGGCCAGGAGTACCTCCTCCAGCCAAGACTGACCACAGTCCAGAGAACAAAACCCAGATAACAGAATCTGTCTCTGACACTGGACTCTTCTTTCTTGCATTCTGAGAAATGTAAGAACTACTCTTGGAAAGAAACAGTAGAGACCAAGAAACACAGGGATGGAAGCTGACTGGTTTCAGGGTTCAAAGGTCTGTGTCCCATCCCAGTTTGGCAAGTTATCAGTGGGAGGGGCCATGAACAATCCAGAAAACCTCTCTGGGCCTCTGGTTCCTTATCTGAAAAATGAAGGATAGTGAAACTTGCCTTGCCTACTCACAAGTCTGTCCTGAGCTCATGAAACTCTAGCAGCTTTTCTATCTTCTCAGCTTTTCTATCACTTAACAGGTGAAAAACCTATGGCCTAAGAAATTAAATGACCCACTTACCTATTTGTCTTAGTTTGAGTGTCCCCAGACCTTGAAACAAGCAATCAAATACAGGTAGTGTATTTAAGACAGGCAAGAAAAACTGCCAGAAGAGTGGAAAAGTGAACCCAGGAAGAGAAGGTAGCCAGTAAAATGATTTATCAGTCTTCTCCCTCTGGGGACAACTGAAAGTTAATTCCCTGAGGAAATTCTGGAAGTGGAGTACAATGCAGGCCTTGAAGTTATCCTGCCCATGGAATGAGGGAGCTGGGGTATTTGCATGCCAGTCCTGCAGAGTCCTTGGTTAAGGTATTTAAGACAGGCAAGAAAAACTGCCAGAAGAGTGGAAAAGTGAACCCAGGAAGAGAAGGTAGCCAGTAAAATGATTTATCAGTCTTCTCCCTCTGGGGACAACTGAAAGTTAATTCCCTGAGGAAATTCTGGAAGTGGAGTACAATGCAGGCCTTGAAGTTATCCTGCCCATGGAATGAGGGAGCTGGGGTATTTGCATGCCAGTCCTGCAGAGTCCTTGGTTAAGGCTGCTGGGGCAGGATGTGAGCAGAGTGGACTTCATGGCTTTTTAAAAAAAAGAAAGAAAAGCATGCAGACAAAAGGAAGCAGAGGCTGGCTAGTGGAGGTTGGTCAGAATGCATGGAAATGGCAAGGCCCATTGGGTACATGTGTGTCATTGCGATGGCTTCGACAGCTAACAGTCAACAAGGCTAAGATCTCAACGTCGGTTCCCTGACATCCCATTAGGGTCTTTCCCACTATCACAGCTCCCTCTGACATTATGGCTCAGTTCTCCTGACTCTCCTCCTCGTGAGGTTTCTGCCAATGCCCAGACTGCTTCCTGCCAATGTTGTTCTTCCCATACGTGGTAACACCATTGGGTCAGAGCTGGGAGAGGGCATCCCTTGGCCAAACTATCCTCTCTGGGCTCTGGCACTCAGCTCAGAATGCTCAGCATTGCAAGCCTAGAACAAGTTCCTTAACATGAGAATTCACAGGTTTGGGTGTCTGTTTCCAGACCTAGGATATCTGTCAACAGAATACCAATCCAAGAAGACATTTTGACAGGAGAGGTAATAGTCACCCCAGAAAAAACGCAATTGAGAGGGAAGTCCTTGAGTCCAAGTGACAAGATCATCAGGGCAAGAGAGGGTACAGGGGATTCAGTACCTTGTTCAGATACTAAATGTGCAAACAGTGAGCATCCCTGTTGTTTACAGAAGCATATGTCCTGGTTGCAGCCCAAAAGCATACAGCAAGCCAGATCTGAGCTGTGCATACATTGCCAGGAGCATGTGAGTGGCCCAATGCCCCAGGGACAAGGTTCCATTCTTACTGGGGAAAAACAGGTACTGGACTATCTCCACCAAAACCTCACCAAAGTAATCAGTGGAGTGCTAAACACCTATCTGACCATAAAGTCCAAAGTCTAGGTGAAGAAACATGGAAATGGTCTTCTCTCTCTGTGTTTTGGTGGTAGAGAGGGCTGAAAGGACAAACAGTAAAATAAATATTTTAAAAGTCACAAAGTATTAAGGAAAATTCTGACCCATTAGATACAAATTCATAATTAAAACAGCCTAGCCTCACTGCTTCTGCATGTCATCAATTGTAAGATGCACATTTTTTTCGCATTTTAGTATCTCTGAAATTGGAGTGGTCCTTGCAGTAATGGTGGCCCCCAGTTCCTCCTAGCCAGAGAATAGTTACAGCAAAATTGTCATTGCCCACATGCCCCAACATGCACAGAGATAGTCCCATTTTCTTTACTCATGTACTGAGTTTAGTTATGTAAGATGTCTTCAAACCAGAAAAATGTCAGTAATTATTGAAGTTAGGTAATGGATTCAGAGTTTATTATTTTATACTTTCCACTCTTTTATACATTTAAACATTTCTAAAATAAAAAGGAAAAAAGGTCTCCAAAATATACAGTGATTCAGCATTAAAATGAAATGCTTATTGTGTTTTCAGAAAGGGAGAAAAATAGAGCAGTGAGGTGTCAATATGATATTAGCAAAACAAATGCTTGACATTGAAGGAATGACTGAAATTTCACATTTTCTTAGAAAATAATAAGCAAGCCCTTTCCAGGACCTAAGAAAGAAAGCTGTCTACAAGTGGATGAAGCATGTAATATTTTGTTACTGAGATTGAAGGCAGGAGGAATTGCCTAGGTTTTTGGAATTTGTTTAAGAAATTTTGAAACAATGTAACCAAGTTATCAGTTATGGTAGACTACCATTATGCTGTTGTCATAGTTTAATACATAAAATAATGGTATACCTTCCCTTCTATTGTGTCTTAGAATCAATAAAACAGTATTTTCAAGGTTGAGTATTTCCAGTGTTGGCTATCCAAGGCAAAATTTTAAAATATGCATATTTACAGAAAGAGATGAAGAAGTTTCTGTTCACCAAAGTTCCTCTTAGGAAGAATCCTGCATTTGTCTAGAATAAACACTTTAATAAGAGACAGTACAGTGTGGGGGCTGAGATCATGGGCTCTGAAACACGGCTGTGTATGTTCGAATCCCAGCTCTGCTGCTTGTTAGCTGTGTGACATTAGACAAGTTACTTAACTCTTCTATACCTCAGTTTTCTTATCTGCAAAATGAGGATATTGAAAGTAGATCTTTCAGAGGTTGTGTAAAGATTAAATGAAATAGTACTTGCAAAGAATTAAAACTAGTACCTGGCACAAAGGAAGTTTTCAATAAGCTGTTATGCCATGAAGGAAAGGGAAAGAGCAATCTGTTCACTCCCGGAGAAGAGATGGCCAGGAGATGGGTGGAGAATTCAGAGAGAGGAATCCCAAGAGACAGCAAAAGCCTTTCCTAAACCATGATGTGTATTTATTAGGGAAAATCTGACACTAAAGGTGAATACTAAGTATAACAGGAAAAGCACATGTCACAAAAGTAGAAGCAGAAGAGGCCCTGAAAAAGCAAGTCCCAGGAATTCATAGAGTTAAGTAATCAGCTATGGATCCTCGCATGCCATGCATTTTGGGGTTACACTGAGTTAAATGTATATACCTTCCTCCTTCTCAAAGATGATAAATTGATCCCATCTTGGGTGCCAACTGTGGTCAATTAGAGTGTTGTACTATGAAGGATTAGAAATATCTGCCTTAGGCATGGGGGGACTAAGTCACAACACATGAATAACATTTCAGCCACATTGGCCTTAGGCCAGACCTGTGTCCCCTTGATATTAGAAATACAGTCAAAATGCGGAAAGCCCCACAAACACCTCTCTGTTCCATGTGACTGGTCCAGGACCTAAGTATGTGGGACAGCCCTCTTCAGACTGCACCCTAAGGTCACACAACTGGATAGAGTTTGGGTGACTGATTCAAAATGCATCGAACAAGTATCACCACATAGGGATTGTCCAACCCAAATCAAGCACCCAGCAGGTGTCTAGGGGATTCTCAACCAATAAAAGATACAGGTATTCCATCCATAGAAGGGGAATTGGTGGCAACTAAATGAATTGAAGGTTGTAAAAGCTATATGCTGGCTTGAATTATGTTCATTGAAATGTGTAGAGAGAAAGGGGAGTGTAGTTCAGAATTAACATTGACTTAGCAATCATTCTGTTTAAATCTCTCATTATACAGAGAAAGAAATTGAGTTCCAAAGTTTATAAAATGTCAGAGGCAGGTCTAGAACCCTGAGCTCCTGAGACCTATCTAGCCCAGGGCCTTTCTTCTTGTAAGGTTGAAAATATAGGACATGCTGAGGGTTAACTGAAAAAATCAGCCCTTCACATCATCCTTGCTGTCCTCTCCTGCAACTCCAGGGAAAACTGGACCAATTGGGAAATTACCTGCTCCAAGAACATTGACTCCTCTAAAAGTTCAGTCACTCTCTGCCATGTTGAACCATTCATGTGTGTTTCTTCTGAATTCCAAGCCGGAGGAAATATCTTAAGTTGTACCTGTTAGAACCCTGGATCAGAGTTTATCAGTAGACTGCAGAAGAGCTTCTAGGTCATACGGTCTTAACAATGAGCAAGCCATTCTTTCTGCTGCAAATGAAAGCTTGTCCCCAAGTCTGTCCCCAGTGGCCCACTGTGGCACTTTTTTCACTTTCTCCAGAAGACTCCTTTTAAATATACATGCTACTTTTGAGAGCATCTTCATAACCCATTTTGTTTGTGCAATTCAGAGAGAACAGACCAGGCCCATGACCTTGGATGAAAGGTCCAGGGAAATCCTTTTTTTGTTTTTTTATTTATTTATTTTTTAGAGACGGTCTCATTCTGTCACCCAGGCTGGAGTGCAGTGGCATGATCACAGCTTACCGTAACCTTGAATTCCAGGCTCAAGAGATCCTCCCACCTGAGGCTCTGAAAATGCTGGGATTACAGGTGTGAGTCACCATGCCCAGCCCCAGGGAAATCGTTGAACCTCACCCACTTTATGATTGGTGAGGACCAGAGGCTGCTTCTTGCCCCTTCCCAGTAGTAAGGAATGTGGTGGTTGGAGGGGGTGGGGTCTGGTATAGGGAATGGCAGAATCAATGCCTTTCTTATGTTAATCATTCACATTTATTAATGTTTGTAAAATCCATGCATGTCACTGTGTGTAGCTATGGTTCATTCCTTTCCACGGCTGGATAGTATTCCGTTGTATGCATGCAGTACAATTTATTTTTCCACTTATCTGTTTATAGGCACTTATGTTGCATCCAGTTTGGGGCAATTATGAACACAGCTGCTAGGAACATTGTTTGCTTTTTCCATGTGTCCACCTGTACATATATTTTTCTAGGCATAGACTCAGCAAAGGATGCCCTGGGGTGTCCTTCATAAAGTGTGAAAATCTTCAACTGAGTTTTCTGCAGCGTTTGCACCATCTTATGTTTCTACCAGTGTTACTGAGCATTTCCACTCTTCTGCATCCTCACCAACACAGGGTATTTCAGAGTGTTTAATTTTAGCCATATTCCCTGGCAGTTTTATTTTGCATTTCCTCAATGACTAATGAAGTTAAACACATTCTCACATATTTCTTGGCCATTTATATTTTCATTTTGTGATGAATGTATTAGATTCCTTTGCCAGTATTTCTTTCGTATTGTTTGCCTTTTTCTTACTTGGTGAAGGAGTTGTACATGTGTGCTGGGCACTGGTCTCTTGTAACGATAACTGTTGGAAATACCATTCCCACCCCCATGGTTGGTCTTTTCACTTTCTTGTTGGTGTGTTTTGTTGAACAGAAATTCTTAGTTTTCATAGAGTTGAATTTATCTGTCTCTTCTTTAGAGTTAGTGGTTTCATGGTCTTATTTAAGAAATATTTCCCTGCTCCAAGCACATAAAGATATCGTTTCATACTCACTTCTAGAAGAATTATAGTTCTGCTGTTCACATTTAGATCTTTTATCCTTCTGGCATTAAATTTTAAAATGTCTCAAACTTCTTTGTCAAATTATAATGGGAACCATAGCATCATGTTCTTGAGCCCTGGCTTGGAGGCTGCCTGTGTTTCAGTCATGGCTCAGACATTCACTAGCTGTGTGACTCTGACAGTCTGCTTTTCTTCTCTGTGCCCGTCTCCCAGCTGTAATAGTACCCACCAGAGCACTTTTCTGAGAATTAAATGAGTTAATATGTAAAAGTGTTTAGAAGAAAGAATGTCTGGCACACACTTAATGCTTTATAGAACTTAGCTACATCTTTTTTCTGCCCTTAAAGTTTCTCCTCGGCTCACTCAGACCCAATGATCATGCTTGCCATGACCTAACAACAGCCGAGAAACGTGACCCTATGGAAGCTCTGTGCTGTCATGATCAATATTCCGCCTGAAGAGTTCCTTTTCACCGTACAATTTTCTTGCATGTGTCAGTATTTATATGCTTCACTTGCCATCTACAGGCACCTCAACCTTCTAAGAAAACGTGCCTAGTTCTGTCGACTTTAAGATCAGAGAGTTGTGGAATTCAATTCTCCCCAGATATTTGTTATGCTCCCTGGGAAGTAAAAGAGCTCTGAAGGTGGTGGAAAAGAGAAAAATTTCTCAACTTTCATTCAACTAGGATGTACATTTCTGGGGACACTGCATGATCTGTCTGTCTTTTTCCTGTTACTGGGTGACACCTTTAAGACACCAAAAGTGGCTTCAAGCCAGAAAAGGAAAGGAACCAGCATTTGTTGAAAGTTTTCTAAGTTACAATAAGTACTTCACGTATGTTATTTTACTTAAGCTACCCCATAAGTGAGAGAGGGAGGTAACTCATATGCAGAAGAGTCAGAAGTTCTGCATTCAGAACAAAGTCCTTCTAGCTTCCAGATGAAAACTCTTTACAGCAGGCAGCCTCCCACAGAGGCACCACCTAGTAGACTTAGAATCATTCTGGCCTTCTTGAATGCCCCACGTATTTTAGACTTTTTTCTATTTGTCACCTCATCTGCATCCTGCTCCCTCCTCATGCTAACCCTTGGTTGTGCTTTCAGCACCAAAACCTGTTCTCCCAGCGAATGCCAGTACCTGCAGCTGACCACTCACCGTGAATCTTAGAC